CACTGTGTCCAGCACCCTACATGAACACGGCCTTTCCTCGTCTTCTTCCTGTGGAAACGGGAAGGAAATTTCCCAGTGTCTTGGGAAATGACTGGCCTCAACCTCAGTTCAAGCCCTTCTTGTCAAACTCAGCCTGGCTCAGCTCTGGCATCAGCACCGCCCTGGACAACCGACAGCCCTGCAAGCACCCCTGTTTCAGAAAGCACCATGCAGAGGTGAGGGCAGCCTTATTTTCTCGCTTAACAAGAAGGTATTCTTTAATATAACCATGAATTGAGGCAGTCACTGTAACTGCGGATACGACAGCACACTCGGCTGGGCGCCCTGGCAGGGCTGGTACCATGCTAGGCGAGCAGAGATACAGAGCGAGGAGGAGTGTGGGGTCCCACAGCTGTTTCCCGGTACCACGGGGATGGCAGCAGGCCACTTGTGCTCCCAGCTGCTGAGAAAGGCCTCCCGAGTGGCTTCCCCACGTTGTCCCCAGAAGAAATGCATTGGAGAAACAGCCCATGCCATCACTGGCCCGTGAGCAAGCAGTGCCCAAGGGAGGCACCCCGAGCACCCTGTGCCTCGTTTGCCTTTCAGAATGGGCTGTGGCAGCTGCCTGAGCCCTGAGACATGTTGGGATAAGTTTCTCACGTGTAACACCTTTCTTAAATGTATGCATCAGAATATATAATATCAGAACACCTCCAAAATACTCATCAGATATCAACAAAACCCTGCCCATATCCCTTTTGGGGTGGATCGCTGTGGTTCCCTGGAAATTAGTGATGTTTCTTCCGATTTATACCCACGGAGCACTTGGCCTGAGCACCGAGCTTCTCTGAGTCACTGGCATTACTATATGAGGGCAGCTACGGTAATTCATTACCCCAAGTCCAAATGTCAGCTCACAGGGAGGGAGGAGGCAAGATTAGAGGAGTCTGCTGAAATCTGGCGTCAGCATGAAAATCGTGACAAGTCTAACAGAGATCAACCAGCATAAATGTGTATGATGCAAGGACGTTGACTGAGATAATGCGGTTGTCAAAGGCACTGTGAGATTTTTATTTTAACCTATGATTTTTTCATAATTATTTTGCAGCTGGAGTAATTACCATCCTATTTAATGAGCACAGCTCATTTAATAGAGGACACTTGGGCTAACATGCACTAATTAAGTCTGTAATCACTAAAAGTATGATTGAAGGTTTTGAACTGGCCAATCGTTCTCAGTAATACCATAATGAGAGACACTGCAGCTCATCAGAGCGCAGGAGAAATTCAAGGGGTCTTGATCACCCAATGGTGTACACGGGTCTTGATCCTGCCTTGGATCATCCTTCTACCTGATATTCTGCATTGGTTTACAGTGGTTCATAAACTACCCTGAATACGTTACACTCAGCCCCATAAACTGAATGCACTTCCACAGTTTTATTTTAATAATTTGGCTTACGGGTCTTGTATATCACCTGGGCGTAAGCACAGCTTCTCTAATCCCCACCTGTCTGCTTGTCTCATGTGGCCCCAGCAGCAGCTGTGAAAGACTCCCGAGGAGCTCCGACAGCACTAATTGCAGTGAGATACTGAGAGAACTTGAAAAAGAGAGCTGAAACCGTAAAACGAACCCTTCTGTTTCTTCCTACAGGCTCAGAAGTGAGTGAGTGAGGCTCAGAAGGCTCAGAAGTGAGTGAAAAAGATCAAGAAGTGAGTGAAAAAGATCAAGAGTTTTCACAATCTAATGGCCAAGATAAGGGGACCCGGCAGCATATTTCCTTCTGCCTTCTGCAGTGCAGTGGAGGCGAACATGCCTCTGGGATTCAGTTTTATCTTCCACTGAGCTCAGCTCTTTGGGTTATCAGGAAGTCAGGCTTTCTCTCTGCCGTTGGCTGTGATTAGCTGGCCACAGCGATGTCTGAATATTTTAAGACTGCAGCTCACTACAGTGGAAAGAATTTAAAAAAAAAACCAGCTTAAAAAGTCAAAAGGCTGTATATCAGGGAGGATTTTGTGGAGAAATTCATTCCAGCTGCAAAATGCCAGTAAAAGAATATTTCTATTTTTGTCTATTTTTACACAATTTGCTAATAACAGCTGCCCAGAGTGAAAAAAAAATTAAGCCAAATACATTTTGCAACTTTGGTCTTGCTGGAAATAAGAGAAATACTGAAATTAAATTGTATTACCTTTCTTTTACCTGCTTATTTTTCATTTCAGTTTCATCAGCGTTATCTGTCTATCAAGGATAATTTATTTTTCCCCATTTTTGTAACAGGATGAGCTTGTTAGCAGGTATCTGAACTTGAGGCAGAGTAACTAATTGCTCTGCAAGCAATCAGTCACTGAAAAAAAAAGTCTGGTTCTCTCTCCCATGTACTGGTCCAGGGGCTTTGGTCTCTGGGCTATTTTTTCCAATCTGGGTTATTTTAAGCAATTCACTCGTGCCTCTCATCTTAAAATAAAGGCAATGCCATAAAAAGATGGCAGTATTTTTCCATTCTACCATGACGCAGAAAGGCCTGGGCCTTTTTCACTTGTTTTTCACAGGTTCCCGGTTGAAAGTACAGCGCTCCTGGACCAAAATGCTGCAGTTCGTACACAGATACAACCCAACGGGCTTGGGCGAGCTTGGCCTTCGGGTCCCTTTTCTCCTTTCACCCTTCCCCGTGGGAGATGCCTCAGTCCGTAACCACAAATGCCTCCCCGCGGCGCCACTGCTGGCAGCCCCGCAGCCAGCCGTCCACAGCCGCGCAGCCAGCGCTGGGGCTCCCCGACAGCCGACTGTCGTGGTTTAACCTCAGCCGGCAACTGAGCGCCGCACAGCCGCTCGCCCAC